TGCCCCATTTTCCCCGCAACTCATTTTCCCTGTTTCCCCTTCCACTTTGTTTCAACTTTCCTCCTGTATGTGACTAGGACCTATAACCTTTCTGTACAAATTCAATTTCGTATTTTTTCCCATTCGTGATCTTTCAACGCAATGAGTGGGTGCAACTGAAGAGCTCTCATGAAATTTATGGTTCTATTAAATTTTGCATTGATTACTATCTTCAAATCATAAACTTACTTTCTATTGAAAAGATCTAAGTAGACAAAATATTGCATTGAAACACAGTGGATAAATACTAACAGACTGTGACTAGTGATAGCAGGCCATAGTCATGTCAGTTACGTTCAGGGCTGGACTACCATACGGCGAAAACAGTTACTCGTAAAAGGACGGCAAGCGTAATGCAGCGAGCCGAGCAAGCGAGCGAGAGAGGGAACATTTTTTACAAAGCTAAGCTTTAGAAAGGGTAGGTTGGTGGGGACGAGAAAAACATACCATCATTGCTGAGGGGACTACCTCCGCAGAATTGTTCACAATCCGACCTTGTCAAAAAGTTATTCGCAGTGCCTGAACAATGATTGTAACCAAATTCCTGGCAGCGCCCTGCTGACTCATCAAAGAACCAGCGCGAAACGCGCTGTCCGACGTCTACGCAGACAGCAGATGGTGTCTGTGACGGCACAGTGTGTGGTAAACGGCAGAGGTCCACAGCATCTGGTTAAAAAAGTATTTGGTTACCTCTAATTAAAAATTAGTAAAAAGGAATCGACAATTTACAAGAAAATGGTTAAGCTAAAGACTTGCGCTGTATGCATCAGGTACTGGACTTACCTTATGAAAAACCAGCTGTAAATAATTTTTTTACCAATCCTCAAAATACGTTCCTTTATTTTGAGCTTTATAGTACTACAATCCCACTTTTATGAATATGCAGCAAGCATCAATTAACATTTCTGCTATAGACAATTTTTGAGTTCGCCAAAAGCGTCTGCCCTTCGACGTTGCCAAAAGACCGAGAAGGAGGGAATTT